TGGCCCAATTGTACCATCATCAATAACAGGTATGTATTCTGGCCCCCTTTCCCTACAGAATAACAGGTATGCATTCTGGTCCAATTAAACCCTCATAATAACAGATATGTGTTGTGTGAAGGAAAAAGTAAACACAAATATGACCTACATGTTTCGTGTAAAGGTACAGGAAATACAAATTTAACTTATATCATGGGTATAATTATTGATTATTTCATTGATAGGCCTGAATGCAATGGACATCTGCCCCTAAACAACCAGCGAACTCTTAGTCCACAGAATTCTTTAAAGAGACAGCCATTTCCTTCACCAAGAAATTCCATCAAAATCCGCAACAATTCTGTGAGCAGTACCCAGAGTGTGTGTAACTCGATAATTTTGAGTCGCCAGAACTCATTTACCAGTCGCAGGACCATGAACTCCTTGTCATCAATGAACGGTATAAAGGATGATTACAAACAGAATAACCTGTCGTCAGAACCAACAGCTATAGTTGACTCCATTCCCCAGACCACACCAGAGGAAGAGGATGAGGAAGAGGAAGACCCCGACGCCATTGATGAAGCGGTAAACAAGTTTATTTGTTAATATTCTCTATTGTGTTTTACTGTCCTTCGTAATTGATTTCTCTTTCTCTATTTGTCTTTGTTTAGCTTAGTCTGCCTCGGATCTCAGAAAAGAGGCCTGGAAAATGGTTCTGTTGGCAAAATTTGTTAATGCAAAACTTTTACCACCAATGTCTTGTATGATATCTAGGTGGATCATTCAGACCGGCTGTCGCCTTTTAAAGGCTGAAATAAGGCTAAAAAATGAGGTCAAAGGTCAACGGGTGCATTTTTTCTTTATTTTTGCTGTAATAACCACATAGGGTTGATTTTTCAATCTGAACCCTTTTACTGTGTGTTTTTACATTACTCGATCTATAAAGAAACATAGCACATCTCAAAACAAAATTATTAAATATAACATATAAATCAAGCACACTTAGTGTGAGCTAGACAGTTACCTCCCTTACATCCAAATTAACCATTTACCATTATATTTACCAAAAGCGCAGGGCATGTTTACATGCGATTTATATGGGTATTTGCCATGAACAGGTATATGTCTTTCGATCCATTCTTTATAATATTTCGGTATTAAAATTGAACCACAACACAAAGAAACACAGGTATATACAATGTTTTGGTTGTGCTTATAGTAAGATGCCTGACATTATGGTTAGACATGTTTACAATACATCAAATACTTTATAGTAAAACAGCCTTCCAGGGTCAGCTGAATTTGAAATGACATATAACGGATGTTGTACTAGTTATCATATTATATTTGTAAGTTTAATTTTCCCTATTACAAATATGAACTATAACCAAAACCAGTTTCTAATGATTCATTCTGGGAATAAAAATACAACGATTACTTCCCTTCCTTTAGATCTATGTTTACATGTTAAGTTCTACTGTTCGCTAATTTTCAAGATAATTGTTATAATATAATCATAATAATGATGATCGACAATAAGCTGAAGCTTCAACCTACGCGTATCAACGTTTGAAGAAAATCTTGTTAAAGAGCAAATGAAAGTTATTGCTTCTCTTGATGTCTTTGGTCTAACAACAAACTCCCGAACACCAAACGAATCTAATGATAAAACAAAACTGGTATCTGTAGCAACAAAAGACGTTGCTTCAGACGAAATCACTTCCGATCTGTTGACTTGTGAAAAAAGGGGTCGACAATTAGTTGAAGAATTTGCAGTTAACCGACTGAAGGAGGAAACGGTGGAATTTTTCGCACCAATTAAAGGGTCAAATCAAAGACACTCTCTGATTTGTACAAAAAAACTACACCCGATAGGCAGAAAATGACGAAGCTAATAAGGGCCGACAGGCAGTTGCTACAGCGGCTTTTCAATGCCGCAAACTCGGGACGATCTGTCCAAACTGCTGAATTGTTACAACATGAACTGGCACCTGTTCCTCTCTCTTTGGCCAATGCGAGTGGAAACATGAATACCACAACAAAGTCGCAGATTCTCAATGTTTTGAAAGCCACCTGCGTGGTAATTGATGGGCATGCGTTAGTCCAAGCATTAGTAAACCACCAAAGTGTCAAACATTTGGTGACTATGCACAAGTGTTTTTGCAGTCAGTATTCAAACATTTCAATGACAAGACTACATGCGTTGATGTAACATTTGACCGGTATTATGGTGGCAACTCCATCAAGAATGCAACTCGAAGCAAGCGGTCTGGAAAGCGACGCCCTATACGAAAACTTATTACCGGCCCAGAAGTACCCCTTCCTCAGGTATGGGAGCAGTTCATTACCCTGGATGAAAACAAATCCGATCTTGCAGGATTTCTTTCCAATGAGCTATTACAGCGTGCTGAAACATTGCCACCTGGGTCAACACTAGTAACTGGGGGAGGCTGCACAGGTGATGTCAACGCGAAATCAAGTAGCTTCAATGCCGACCACTTGTCCGTTCAACAAGAAGAAGCCGATACGCGGATTGTGATTCATGCAAAGGATGCAATTACAAGGGGATATGAACGAGTGGTTGTTCAGTGTCGTGATACAGATGTTTTGCTCCTACTAATCTACCATTTGGGCTGCGAAATTGAAACATGGAT